GGGCAACGCGCGGCCCCTGTCGCAGCTCTCCCGCCCCGTCCCTCCCGCCGCCGCCAAGATGTCGCGGCCGCTGTCGGACCAGGAGAAGAGGAAGCAGATCAGCATCCGCGGCATCGTGGGCGTCGAGAACGTGGCCGAGCTCAAGAAGGGCTTCAACCGGCACCTGCACTTCACGCTCGTCAAGGACCGCAACGTGGCCACCCCCCGCGACTACTACTTTGCGCTGGCGCACACCGTGCGCGACCACCTCGTGGGCCGCTGGATCCGCACGCAGCAGCACTACTACGAGAAGGACCCCAAGGTGAGCGGCCCCCCTCCGCGGGCACTGCCGGGGCCGTGTCCCCCCCTCCACGGGCATCATCGCGGCCATGGGCATCGTCATGGCCACGTTCCCCTCCACGGGCATCAACATGGCCATTTGCATCGTCATGGCCACATCCCCTTACATGGCCATTGCCACCGCGCATCTCCCGTCCATGGGCATCACCACAGCCGTTCCCCCCTCCGTGGGCACCGCCACAGCCGCCACGCCAGGCGTTGCCATGACCTTGTGTCCCTGGCGCGGCCGTGGCAGCGTCCCCTCCCTCCGTGCCCATCCCCGGAGCCGCGTTGGCGCGGGCATCGCCACGGCCCCGTCTCCCCACGCACGGCGCTGCCTCGCTGCCATGGGGCATCCCCACTGCAAGGACAAAAGTTTGGTGTTTCTTGCTGATGTCCACCCTACAGATAAGCTTTGATTAGCTTTCACAACGTAGGCTGAGGTCCTCCGAAACTGGAAAGGCCGCTGCAGACCAGTCTTGCTGCTTGCTTGTGCTTTGACCCCCAGCACCTCTGGGACAGTTTATGTGTCTGACAGTGAGATGTGTGCGTGCAGCTCATGGTGAGATGAACTCAAGGAAATCTGCTGCTGTATCGCCCTAGGCCTCGAGCCACTTAACAGGCTTAGGTGGATTTGAAGCATCTGTGTCCAAAGATGCCAACCCTCAAGACGTCCTGTTTGGCCGGAGACAAAACTCTCAGCCCTGAGCGCTGAAAATGGCCTGGGAAATGTTAAGCTGAGACGCTGAAATGCCCAGCCCTGCACTCTCCCTTCCCTTCCCTTCCCTTCCCTTGCCACCTCCTGCTCTTCTGCCACGGGTGACCTGACTCATTTATCTTCCAACAGCTCCAAAAATGTGATAGCAGCATTGGAAAATCATTAGCAGGAAGAGGCCTGGCCTGAAATCTGGCCAAGTATGCAAGGGGTGGGAGGCTCTCCCCGGTTTTCAGCTGGCTCGGGATCAGCTTGATTTCCACAGGAGAAAATATTAAAAATCCAGCGTAAGCATCACTTGGACCAAGCTGCCCAGCTAACTATGTTTAAATGTACTGCTTGGCATCCTAGATAATTCTTGCCCCAAGTTAATTAGGGAAACACTTAACAGGCAACAAGATTTTTCTATAGAAGGCTGTTGGCAGGGAGATGTGCAGCAAAGAGTTGGCCAGCGTCCCATGCAACCATCCCGACAAACAAGCTGTGGTGCGTGTTGTTCAGAAACAGGCGCCGAGGGCCTGTTTAGCAAGACATCCCTATTCAGGAAAGCTCTTCAGTCTCCTTTTTTCTTTCTTTTTTTTTTTTTTTTAGTTTTAATTGACTTTAGTAACAATACTTGGTGCAGTAATTGATGAGCAGTCCTCCTACAAGCGAATGAAGGGAGCGGTGTGTAACTTGCTGCTGTTTTCCTTTGCCTCCCCAGCGCATTTACTACCTGTCCCTGGAGTTCTACATGGGCCGCACTCTGCAGAACACGATGGTGAACCTGGGCTTGGAGAACGCGTGTGATGAAGCCATTTACCAGGTGAAGTCTTATCCCAGGACTGTCCCCCCACCGGAGATTTAGGCAGACTTTTCCATGCCTGGGTATCTTTGTTACGTTAAAGTGTCATTGGAGGGATTCACACTGGAAAAAAGAAAAAAACCTTAGCCACTGTTAGCACCAAGTCACCCAGAAAGACAAGGGCCTTTTTACTCAAGCTTGCAGGAGGACAGTGATCTTTGTCACAGATGATGTTGGGGCTTTCCTATCCCAAATCTTTCCCTTCCCCACCCTGGCTTGATCTGTGTTACACTTTTAGCCACCCCTATCACTCTGTGTCTGGGGCTTTCCTGGTTGAACAGAGCTGGAGCACTGGTGGAGGGGCTTGGGGAACAACTGTGCTCTCTGCCCAACTCCCTGTCATTCACCCTCACGCCAAAGTGAGCAACTGCTGTCCTCTGAGAGGTAGCAGCTCTGCGAACGTGCTGCTGGCTTGCGGCCTCCAAGGGCATGCAGCCCCCAAAGAGGCTGCCAGCGGTTGAGTTGAAGAGCAGGTTGCCCAAGAGATGCAGAAGAGGAGACAACCACTTCACCCCTGGATTCCAGTCAAGAAGCTCTCCTGCAGAGTGGCTGTGGTGTGGGAAGATGCGGAGTTATGGTGAAAGCTGCAAGAAGAAGCTGCCGCTGTGGCCGTGGCGTTGCTCAAGGCACGGTGGATGTAAAGAGAAGGGAGGACCGCATAAGCAGGCAGGATTCTGGAGCCCCTTTTGCTCCGTCTGGCTGTTTGCCATCCTTTTTGCAAGGCAAGTTCAGTGGACAGGCCTCGCAGCTTGAAGGACTGCCAGAAGACAAGTGTTTTGTTTCATGTCTCTAAGGAAACCTCCCAGTTCAAGGGAAGGTGACGTTTGATGATGAGCTAAGTCACTTTCCAAGTAATTAGGCTGCCCAGCGATGGGCAAGATGTGGAGGAGTGCGTACAGAGTGAGTCCCTTGTGGCTTTTTATTTTATGTGAGATGGGTTGTTTGGGGGCTTGGGTTTGCCCTTCTTGGACAGCAGCCTCCTAGCCCGTGAGGGGTGAGATCCTGACAGTGTGTTCCTCTGTGGTTATTTTCCCAATAGCTGGGGTTGGACTTGGAGGAACTGGAGGAGATTGAAGAAGATGCTGGGCTGGGAAACGGAGGCTTGGGCCGCTTGGCAGGTAACACGGGGAAAGGGGAGCCCTGTCCTCAACGCCAGCTGCACAAGGGCTGTGCCCTCCTGGTGAACGTGTCGCGTGTTCATTGCAGCCCCCTGACCACCCTTCGCCCTGTCGCTCGCCCGCTGCAGGACAGTGCACAGGCCGTGGCCCCCATGTGTCGCGGCCAGCCTCTGTGCTCCCAGCTTGCCAGAAGTTGTCCCCCTCTCCAAAAGAGAGGCATCCATGCCTAACTGAAGCGTGGCATTCTGGAATGGGGCTGCAGAAGGCTCCTTGAAGCCTCTCCTGTAAAATCTCGCACGACCCTGAGGCACCCAAACTCTCATGTAGACAAAATGTTGGCTGCTCTTTCAATTTGCCTGCCCCATAAGTGAACAAGGAAAACAAGGGAACGAGGCCTCTCTGCCCCATAAGTGAACAAGGAAAACAAGGGAACGAGGCCTCTCTGACACGGTGGAGATGCCAGGGCTGGTCCTTGCTAGGGCAGTCCTGCAATGATGATTGGAAAGAGATAATGGTTAAGTGGTTGGTGCTGCAGCCAGGCAGGTGCAGAAGCCCTGCTTTATCTGCCAGGCTGCCTTAGACCAAGCCTGCTGCTGATGCCCCCACTTGCAGCTGCCCTGTCCTTGGGGCTCTTCGTGGCAGCTCGGCGTGCCCGGCACTGAGGCCATGCTGCAGCCTGGCCCTTCCTACCTGCAGGTTTCCTCTGTTCAATACGAGATTTCAGTGGCATCAGTTGTGGTGGCTCCTCTCCCCTCTGCGCAGCGTGTGCTGGGCGTGAGGTCCCTCACGTTGTGATCATGCTCTGCTCTTCCAGCTTGCTTCCTGGACTCCATGGCCACGCTGGGGCTGGCAGCCTACGGCTACGGCATCCGCTATGAGTTTGGTATCTTCAATCAGAAGATTGTTGATGGCTGGCAGGTACATGAGGAAAGCAAAGTCACCCCTTCCCTTCCCTGCAGTGGTCAACTCTGCCTGTGGACAAGGCCTGGCCACAAAAAACGCCTTGGCAGTGCTGTGGTGACATGGGCTGTGTATCAGTTGAGGGGTTCTGGAGGTGCAGCAGGTTCCCACCCGGGGCAAACACCAACTGGCCCCCATGGTGAGGTGGTGCCTGTGTGGCACGGCCGAAATCCAAGTCCCTGCCCGAGACTCCATGGATGCAACAACCTGAGAGTCCCATCTGACCTGGGCAAGGAGTCAGGGCAGCAATGGCACTGTGGTGGGACCGAATTGAAGATGCCTGGACTGAAGGGAAATGTGATGGGATGAAGGAGCGGGTGCTGCTGCTCCTTGCCATTCCCTAGGAGACTAGCAGCAGGGGATCAAACAGGGACTCTACTGCAGCACAGTCAAAGGATTCACTAAGAAAAATTGGGATTGATTTCACTTTACCCTGATGATACGAATTAGGATTTATGCCCCAAATGACAGCTATCCCTAGTGCATGTCTGGAAATAATTTCCTTTAGGAGGCCTGGGTTGATTATGTACATAAAGGACCTTCTTTCTCCTTAAAACAGCACTGCATGAATCAGTGCAGGTGAGAGGTAGTTTTTTTTCTTTCTTCCCCACAAAGAATTTGCAGTGTTGGGCTCCATAAATGGTGAAAACAGATGTGGAGAATAGCGACGACTGCATTGGCTAGATGTTACTTTAAAAAGAACACGGAGGGTAATGCTGAGCTATATCTCAGGCTGCCCTACACTGTCAGAAAAACGCCTGTGGACACAGAGCATCCCTTCTGAGTGCCTCAGCCTGTCTGTTTTCTGGTGCACATCAGCCCTGACTGCTGCTGAATTCATTTTTTTTATTTTCCACTCGCTGTCCCTCTCAAACTGGATGCTAAGTCCTTGAGATGCACTGAGCGTAGGGTTCCGTGGGGATAGTATAAACCAATGCAGCTTTGCAAAGCCAATGTAAGAGGCTGATCTATGCAGTCATCCGTGTTCTGGAGAGCGTAGCTCTCCTCTAGAGGCCTGTGCATCTTCCTTTCCAAAGTCAGCTTACTAGGACTTGGCTTTTAAGGCAAGGCTCTCTTCGGAAAGGCCTAGTTTGGCCCTAAATGGCTGCTTTCAGGTGGAGGAGGCTGACGACTGGCTGCGCTATGGCAATCCCTGGGAGAAGGCGCGCCCGGAATACATGCTGCCCGTGCACTTCTACGGCCGCGTGGATCACACCCCGCAGGGAGCGAAGTGGATCGATACCCAGGTAAGAGATCAGCCCTGGTGTCGGGCCTGAAGAGGACAGGACGGTGCGAAGGTGGAGAGGCTTCCCCTGTGCGGGCTGTTGTCAGACTCTGCTCTTCTCCCAGTTTGGCAAGACTTGTGATTTCGTGATTCATCTAAATATCTAAATATTTAGTCGTGGTTGTGACTTCACATCAGTCAGCACTCGATTCTCAATTGATTTCCTGGGTGCAATCCCACATCCTTGGGTGGAATCAAAGCCTGATTTATGCTGGCAGAGAGCTGAATCCCTGCCAACTGCATTAGGCACCTTTCATGCTGCTCCTGTCCCCCGTTGCTCAAACGCAGTGATTTTGCAGGTCGCTTTGCTGCTGCTGGTAGAGGTTTGCAGCTTGGGAGAGCCTTGGAGCAACCTGTTGGGTGCTTCTGTCACTGGAGCAAGTTCCTCCCTTGCCTGTTCGGTTCAGCCTGATGGATGGAATGCTGACAGGGGATGCTCACAGCATAGGCTCAAGTTCCCAGTCAGTCTGGAGGCCTTGTTTGGTGCCAGGGCAAACCCAGGGAGGGCAAACACTTGCCTGCATAATAAATGTATCCCAGTCTTACAGCTGAGGAAGGCAAGCTTTAAATAGGCACACATTTGTGAAGAGGGCTGAAAGTGTGTTGGCCTTTCCTCTTTAACCACTGCCTAGGGAAAGGAAGGGCTTCATGAATTTCTCGGAGATTTAGGGACACAGCCCAGCCGTGTTCCCACACTGACCAAGGGTCTCTGTTGGGCCTGTTTTGTCCGTCTCAGGAATGCACAGTCATAAAGCCAAGCCAGACCCTTCAGCGCCAGCTGCTCTGCCAAGAGCTGAGCCTGGTTACAGAGCCACTGTTCAGAAGAGAAGGAAACCAGCTCCAGTCCAAGGGACCAAAGCTGTGGTGTTAGTGAGCTCCAATGTCACAGCCCTGTCAATGGCAAGAAACAGCCTTCTGCGGGGGGTGTCTTTGCTTGCCAGGCTTCAGGCAGCCCAAGCTGTGCAGTGCAAAACAGCTGCTTCGTACCAGAAAGTATGTTTTCAGCCGGTGCCCTTGTAGGAAATGAGCTGGAAGGGCTCACCAAAAAAAAAAAAAAAAGGCCAAGAAACAATGTCCAAATATAGCATCGTTCTGTTGATGCGATGGGTGCCCCAGGCCCAGGGCTTAGATGGGGCGGGCTTGCATTCCTTCCATGTCCAGAGCTGGTAATATTAGCTTTCAGATGCTGAGCTCTTGCTGATTTTTCCCCAGAAGGGAAGTGTTGGTGCCAGCACACACACATACACAGAAAAAGGCTGTTAGGGCCAGTGTGCCAATCATCTGCCCAGTTCTGCCTGCCTCATAAGCCCATCTCCCTCTGCTCTCAGACGCGTCCCGTGCCACTGCCTGGGGGAAGCGGTGCCTTCAGTGTGTGCTGAGGGGCTAGTGGGTAGGATTTGTGCAGCAGAGTCTGTCCTGGGTGGAAACAAAAAGGTGGCAGCTGTCCTGGAACATTGGCATGGGAGGCACTCCAGTTGGTACAGGGAGGTCAGCAGCTTGCTTGCAACTCTGCTACCTTTTGAGGATGGCACCTTTGCTCCTGTTTGCATTGTAAAGATGCAAACAGCTCTGGTCCTTCTATTAGCCCATTGACAGCAGCTGTTGTAAGTGCCCATGAGAGCGAGCAAGCCCATGAACCTCAGCACATGGGTTTTAGTGTGGATGAGATCTTTTCTGCAGCCAGGAATTGCCTGTTCTCTGGCTTCCTCTGTGCTGCGAGGTGTCTTCCCCCTCCTGTGTCAGTGAAGACACCACATTGCTTACTGGAGGGCAATATTTTGCAGGTTGTGCTTGCTATGCCTTACGATACGCCTGTGCCAGGGTACAGGAACAACACGGTGAACACCATGAGGCTGTGGTCTGCGAAAGCACCTAACGACTTCAATCTGCAGGAGTGTAAGTGCTGTCTCTGCTGCCTCTATTCTGGGCTGGGGCATGGTTGCTTCTGTGTGCACAGCTCTTCCCATCTGGCCTGTTTCTCCCATAACACCTGGATCCCACCAAAACACAGAGCTGTGGCTGCATCCACAGATCACGGCACCTCCAAAGCGCCCGTGCAGCAGGACACCCACCTGTCCTCCTTCCATCCCTATCATGCCTGCCTCAGCCTTGGCACCCAGGCTCTAACTGGAGTGATGCAAAGCAGAGGCAGGGCAGCTACCCTAGAGATCGAGGCTAGGTCATTACTGAAGGGGGATGTTTTTAGACAAAACTGATCTGAGTCATTGTCTTAGGCTTGCAAGCACTACGATGTGCTTCCATCTGCTTCTCCGGCTTCCATCTGTCTTCTGTTTCCATCTGTTCTTCCCAATCTCTGCATCTTCTGAAACTGTGTGGTGATGTGCTATTCTCTAATCCTGTCTCTTGTCTTTCCTGCTGTGCACACATACATTCCCATTCATGCTTCCCTATAACTGGCTTTAATGTTCCTGCTCAACATCTCTGCAGTCGTTACTAGCAGGAGGTGAGGGCTCTTGGCTCAGAACCTGTACAACAGGGAGAAGGATACAGGATCTGGTACCTGCCTGAATTGCTATAGCTTTTGCAGTCCTGTGTGTACTTCTCCCGTGCTGCAGTCAATGTGGGTGACTACATCGAGGCTGTGTTGGACAGAAACCTGGCAGAAAACATCTCCAGAGTCCTGTACCCGAATGACAATGTGAGTGACTTCCTTCCTCTCTGTGCTGCTGCTTGGGATCTGCCTCCTTGTCATTTTATTGCCGGAGTGCCTGGACACTACACAGGCTACTGGGGGGAGTCCGAAGTCCAAAAACCCTGCAAAGGCTCTAGCAGAGAGCGAGGGAGCTGTGCTTGCTCTGTGTGAGTCGCTGCAAAATGTGACGGATTCTGATGCCCTCTGGAGGCACCTGAGACCACACACCTACATCTTGAATGAGCAGCACCATCCCCTGGAGCTGGGCTGCTCCTAGTCCAACATGGGGATTTCAAGCCCCTGTCCCTGGTCCGGTCCCGTGAGATGCAGCCCCAGGAACATACGCAGTAGCCCTGCAGAGGCGCTGAACGTGTAAGGGCTGGCGGGAGCCCCTCAGAGTGGGCAGGAGCAGCTCTAGGGGGCTGGTTGCTGCCCCACTGATGGCTCCGTGTCCTCCACATGCAGTTCTTCGAAGGCAAGGAGCTGCGGCTGAAACAGGAGTACTTTGTAGTGGCTGCTACCCTCCAGGACATCATCCGCCGCTTCAAGTCATCCAAATTTGGCTGCCGAGATCCTGTAAGAACGTCCTTCGAGACCTTCCCAGACAAGGTGAGTTAGTGGGCCACAGCTGCCTATCGTTATGGAGAACAGGATGCTCAGGATCAGACAGGGTCAAGTATACAAAGATCTTGGTCATTTGAGTTGGAAAATGGGTGATCTCTCGGTCTCCCCAGGAGAAAATTTGCAGTTTGGAGCAAAACTTGCAAAGGTCAAATAGCTCCATTTCTGAGAGCTCCCTCTGTTACTAGGATGGTTGAGGAGTTTGTGAGCCATAGAATGGACTTGGGGCTGACCCCCAACCCTGTCTTTGAAGGATGCTGTGCTAGGAAGCCACCAGAGTCTTGTTCCTGTGGGATCTAAGCCCGGCCTGTCTATGTTGCAGGTAGCTATTCAGCTAAATGATACCCACCCAGCCCTGGCCATTCCGGAGCTCATGCGGATCCTGGTGGACGTGGAGAAGGTGGACTGGGACAAAGTAAGCTGTGAGATGCACCCCAGACCTTAGGGCGCAGGAGCTGCCGCCCTGTCTGCACACAAGGTTTCACGTCCCCTCCGGGCGCGTGGTAACCTGCTGTCTGCGCTCAGGCCTGGGAGATCACCAAGCGCACGTGCGCGTACACCAACCACACCGTGCTGCCTGAAGCCCTGGAGCGCTGGCCGCTCCCCATGTTTGAAAAGCTGCTGCCACGTCATCTGGAGATCATTTATGCCCTCAACCAAGAGCATCTGGACGTAAGGGCCTGGACTGGTCACTGGTCAGGGGCAGCCTGACATACCTTTCCTTAGGATGGGAGTGTTTCCAGGTCCTACATCTGGGTCGCTAATCTCCCTTTCTTGCTTTGTGCATCCTGGCAGCGTGTGGCAGCTCTCCATCCGGGGGACAATGACCGTCTCAGGAGGATGTCGGTGATTGAGGAAGGGGCCTGCAAGCGCATCAACATGGCGAACCTCTGCGTCATCGGCTCCCATGCGGTCAACGGCGTGGCCCGTATCCACTCGGACATCGTGAAGAGCTCAGTGTGAGTCGGGGGCTGTCCAAGGTGTGCGCAAACCTCTCCTCTGCGCTCAGTGAGCTTTGCCTGCAAGTCTAAGGGTCTCGCCAGGGATATCAAGGTCTGCTTGGGTTGTTCTGCATGACAGACTGGGTGACACGGACTCACTTGTGTGCCTGCAACATCTAACTCCTCTCCTTTTGGAGAAACCCTAGTCCTTGTGGCTGAGGGAGGAGGTGAGATGCAATACTGAGAATTGGGGGTAGTATAGAGAGGTTAGAGAGAGTGCCCTGAGGCAAGAGCATATGTAGGGGAAGCTGGGCTCAGCTGAAGTCCTGGGTTGTGGAGAGGCCTGGTTCAGAGTGGCTCCTGCTCCCTGGTATTCCAGATTCAAGGATTTCCATGAGCTGGAGCCAGAGAAGTTCCAGAATAAGACGAATGGGATCACACCGAGGCGCTGGCTCCTGCTCTGCAACCCAGGACTAGCTGACATTATTGCTGAGGTGAGTCACAAGCTTAGGTTCTTCTTGCTCTTTGCATCTGCTTGTTTCTTCGTGTCAGCCTGAACAGAGCCCAAGCCTAACTCCTGGCAGCTGTGAGTGAGTACAGGCTGGTAGGACCTGAGCTCTAAAGTCATGAGCTTTAAAGATGAAGAATTGGCTGAGAATTAGAGAAATTTCAGCCTGTTTCTGTCCCCTCATGGTGTCTAGAAACAACCTGTGGGGCAGCGCCATGTTCTGTGGAAACAGGTGTCCACAAAAGCATCCAGCTTCACAGATGGACAGGGCTCTCTGAGAAGTCCAGCCACAGCCTTGGGTCCTTTGTGAACCAGGCTCTGGAGGACCAGCTTTTCCCTCATACCGAGACATGCAATGGCTGAATAACATCCTGCAATTGAACATATTTTTAAGCTCTGCCGTTCAGCTCCTCCAGCTACCAGGAATCCCTGGTGTGTGCAGACATGCTTCCTCTAAATTTCTTCGAGAAAGAGGGACTTCTTTGGGTTTCTGCATGTATCCTTTTTCATCCGAACCTTCCAGGTGACAGAGAGCAGTAGGTGGGACATTCCTATCTTGCTTTATTCTTTTAGCAAATCGGAGAAGATTTTATCACGGATCTGAGCCAACTGAGGAAGCTACTAGATTTCGTGGATAATGAGAGCTTTATCAGGGACGTGGCAAAAGTCAAACAGGTAACATGGTGTGCGGGTGGGGAGATAGGGAACGAGCATGTTCCCAGGAACACCGCAGCAGTGAGTGCCCATGTCTGATACAATGCCTAGGAGCCCATGCCTGCTTCTTCAAAAGTCAAACAGGTAACATGGTGTGCAGGTGGGGAGAAAGGGAATGAGCATCCCAGGAACACCCCAGCAGTGAGCGCCCATGTCTGATACAACGCCTAGGAGCCCATGCCTGCTTCTCATCAGATTTCCTTGGCAGGAGAACAAGTTGAAGTTTTCGGCCTACTTAGAGGAGAAGTACAAGGTCAAGATCAACCCCTCCTCCATGTTCGATGTTCAGGTGAAGCGAATCCATGAGTACAAGCGGCAGCTGCTGAATTGCCTCCATGCTATCACCCTCTACAACCGTAAGTGCTGCCTAGGGCTCCCCACTCCCCAAAAAATCCCTCTGTGACACCACCTTGGGTGCTGACGGGTGGTGAGGAGGGGGTGCATCACTGGAGGCTGCTGAGCCTGGCTCTGTTCTCCTGCCATGAGGGGCTTCTCTCCAGGAGGAAGCCCTGAAAGGTCATGCAGAGCTCTAAAGGGGAGTGCTCATCTCCAGTGAGAGCAGGGAGCTTTGCCCAGCTGATCATTGCTTCAGTAGAATCTGTGCTCTTTCAGGCATCAGAAGCAATCCATCCCAATCCTTCGTGCCCAGGACTATCATGATTGGAGGAAAGGTAAAACCGTGTCCCAGGCTCAGTAGACGCGTGGCTCAGGTGGGATGCGAGGAAGGTGCTGCCCCACGCCAGGGGCGTTGCTGGCCTCCCATTGGGTTAGCCAGCACATTCGGTGCTGGGTGGCTCTTCAGGAAAGTCCTGCATGGACCAGTTGGGCCAAACAAGGCCCCATGCTTCCCTCCCTCTGGCTCAGGATTTTTCCTTCCATGAGGGTTTTTCTGCTGATTTGCAGCAGAGGTGCAGGCCCAGATTCTCTCTGCAGGGAGGACCTGCACTGGCACCTCTCCTGTTCTCCCTTCCTTAAAAAGCTTCACCCTTTCTGCGCTGCTCTTCTTCAGGCAGCCCCTGGCTACCACATGGCCAAGATGATCATCAAACTCATCACATCCATTGGCGAGGTTGTCAACAATGATCCCTACGTGGGGGACAAGCTCAAGGTGATCTTCCTGGAGAATTATCGGGTATCCTTGGCTGAGAAAGGTATGTCGATAGCTCCCCATGGAGGGGATGGCAGCGGACACAGATGGGGGTTATGTCAGCGCCATCCCTGAGCTGTGTGGGCTGGAGCTGATGAGTTAGCAGGGTGTCTAGCAGCTGCTGTGAGCTGCTTTGCTGTCCTGGGGCCCAGGCTGTGGAAAGCTGTGGTGTGTTGAGGGCTAACTCCCACCTCTCTTACACCTGGCAGCGATCCCGGCAGCTGATCTCTCCCAGCAGATCTCCACAGCTGGCACTGAGGCTTCAGGCACTGGCAACATGAAGTTCATGCTGAACGGGGCCCTCACCATCGGCACCATGGATGGGGCCAATGTGGAGATGGCCGAGGAGGCGGGCGAAGAAAACCTCTTCATCTTCGGCATGCGGGTGGAGGAGGTGGAGGCCCTGAGTCGCCGCGGGTTGGTGCTGGGGAAGAGGGTAACGTGTGCGCAGGCCGGTCAGACAGGGCCATGCTGGGCATGGACGCAGGCCATGGCAAGCAGTGGACTCTGGAGGGACTCCCCGGGAATGGAGATGGGTGTAGCTGTAGCTGGAGGCTGTTCCTGGTGGGTTCTGGGCCTCGGGGCAGCAGACATGCTCTTCCCTCCTGACCCTGCCTCCCCTGGGCGCAGGTACAACGCACGGGAGTACTACGAGCGCTTGCCAGAGTTGAGACAGGCTATCGACCAGATTAGCAGTGGCTTCTTCTCCCCTCAAGACCCTGGATGCTTCAAGGACGTCGTCAACATGCTCATGAACGACGACAGGTAAGTCCTGGCGCGCAGCCAACGCATCCTACAGGCTGCCGTCCACACGGCCTCACTCTACCTTGTTGGCTTTCAGGTTTAAGGTGTTCGCTGACTATGAAGCTTACATTAAATGCCAAGGCCGAGTGGACGAGCTCTTCCTGGTAAGGAGCTCCAGGGCTGGGGTCCTGGGCTGTGGCAGGGAGGAGCTAGGCTGAG